GGGGGGGGGGGCAAAAAGAATAAGAGGATTGCTGACTTCATGTATTATGGTATGTTCTTTTTGTGTGTGTGTACATAATGTTCTAAAAAATATTTGACTGGTAACAGTGTATATAGTGATTGTGTGCTCATTTGTAAACTCTAAGGCCTCATTCACACTAGATGCAGTACGTTCCAGCCCGATTCTGGCCAGAATGCACTGCCTCGCATTGCGGCCTGCTCACTTTTTTGTGGGGCAAGAGGGGGCGTGGCGGGCCATTGAAGTGAATGGCGCCGTAGCCACGCCTTCGTCCGCAATGCGATCGGCCGCACGGGATCGCAAGGCAAGGCACATTATGCCGGTGCAATCAAAATGCTGCAAGCACTATTTTGACTTTGTGGCTATGTTTCATGTATTGCAAACTCCTAATTCAATAAGAACACCCTTACCTCACATTGGCAGTCACTTTGGACAAAATAATTGCTGTTAGCAAGTCTTAACAATGAAGTTAGGTAAAGGCAGGCCCTAGTAATAAAGTGATTCAGAAGAAGCTTTTCAGACTAAACAAGATAAAAAAGATATTTTGTGGTGTCCACCCTTAGGCAGGACTCCTATTAAAGAAGAATTCTGGGCAAATAAAACTGTAACCCTTGCAGTGGGGCTACCCCCGCACTGCAAGGGTTAAAAACTTGTTTTGTCTAGGGAGCTATAATAACAGAGTTATACTAGTCCGAACCACAATCATGTCTGGCTGTTAGACCGGTCCCTTCAGACTCAACCACCCCCCCCCTCTGCTCCAGCGGTCTAAGCTCCAGTGAGTCATCACGTCCCATACAGTATATTAGACATGAAGATGCCGAGTGACATTCCTATGTCATTCATTTACTTTACAAATGTCTTCTACTGAGTGTTGTGGTAAAAAAATCTTTTGTACAATTTGCCTTTTGATGATCCTTCTTGAGGCCTGGGTTGACACCAGGGACGTGCGGTCAGGGGAGGCAGAGCCTCACCTAGAATTATGGAGGAAAAAGCTGTCAGCTTTTTCTCCATTCAGATCGTCATCTAACAGGTTACACAGCAGGGAAATCCTGCCCGCTGTGTAACCTGTCACAGAGCCTCAGCGGTGAGGAGCAAGTGAGGGACAGGGAGGCTCCTCCCTGTCTCCTCCTTTACACTAGCTTGGGTGCGGGGCTTTGGCCGGAGGCGGGGCAAGAGGTACCCCGAGCAAGAGGTACCGCAGGTCACTGGTTCACAATGTTGTGCTGTGGCAGCACATGTGTTACCGCAACATGTAAAAATTCACATTGGTACACCGTGGTGGCATTAATTTCTTTTTGGCAGCCCAATGCATCTTCCCAAGGCTTTTGTATTGCAGAGCACAACAACACACTGTAATGCACTACAATTCATTGTGGTGTGCTGTGGTACAGATGCCAACTTTTGAAGTTAATTGTGTTTATGGGGCTAGACACACCCTGCACATGACAAGATTAGGTTGCTTCCCCATCTGTACTTTTTGTAGTAAGGTGAAAGCATAGCATATATCCACTGACCTCTAATTATATCACACACAAATCGATCTCTTCTGGGTATCTGGTTTAGATTGCCTTAATTATATATTAGCTGCCTTCTCGGCTTCAGAAACAAAAAAATGGCTACGTTTAGAGTTCTAAACAATTGTAACATTACAAAACGATAGAAACAGCGACCGTTTAGACAGGAGTTCTCCTTTAAATTAGTATATTTTACTTGGTTGAACATCTATATGTAATAATTCAGTATAACACATTAAGCTTGTTATCTGTACCACTTATTGTTTACTACTAATTATTTAGCAGTCATGTTATTTCCAATTAGTAAATTATTTTCCTTAGGCAACTTTGAATACATAATTGGTGCACAATCTGCATATCTGTGTGTTGAATTATTAACCGTTTTCTGATGTAAACGGTTATAGAATTTTAACAAGAATTCATTAAGACTTTATTTATATACTGTTATATTTTTGTGGGTCTTATACAGTAAATAACTGCTAACTCTCTTCAAAAGACCATTTTTTTGTCATCATCAAAGTAGACAATCCATGCGTACACATAATAGGACATTTTTCTATTTGTACATTTCACCCCATAGGCCAAATACTGGGTCTGTATAGTAAAGGTGCACAAACTGAAAAGTTTATGTAATATGGATAATAACCAATACCAACCATTCAGATTCCTGTTTACGTTACTCATATCAGTGAACAATTAATTCTGATAACTTGAAATCACTCAAGTGTGCAGACTTGAATGATTTCATCAGATCTAAAAAGAACTCGTGTTTTAAAGTGTAGTTCTACTTTTGCAGTTTAAATTGGGATAACATCTACTTTATATTCGTTATGTTCCCATTCATATAACATAACTTTAAAAAAATGCTGCAAACATGTTTAAGTGCTTTATACAGTAAACTCTCAGTTATCCGGTATTCAACTAACCAGAACTCTCATCTAACCAGAATTTTTTTTTTTATTACTGCATTTCTATAATAATAAGAAGTCAATACAGAGTTTGTTATGATATGGTATAGTAAGGGGTATGTCATTAGTTAGACCTATTTTAAATAGTAACTCTCAAGCAACCAGAAACTAAATGTATCCAGAATCTTCCAATCCCCATGCATGCTGGACAATGGGGATTTTAATGTATTTGCTTAAAAATCCTACCTAGCCTCCCCTCTATGTAAAGTTATGTTGGGGACTGTGCAAAGTTATTTTATCTAGGTAGTTAATCTAATTAACCCTGTCTGTATTGTGCTAGCAGATTTCATCACTGTCTGTCCTAGCAAAGGGTTAAAGCCTTCGAGGCATTGTGTGTTAAGCTCAGTCTGACACTATAGTTTCACTCTCAAACTGCTTAGAGTAGTCTGGAATCTGCAGAGAGGCCTTTACCAAAGAAACAGCTAAAAGGTAAGAAATATGTTTGTAAAAATGATTTTTCATTATGCTGTGTGAATGGGAACAAATAAAAAACACATAGCAGGGTTTTCTCAAATTTTCAAAAGTGGAAATACACTTTAACAAAATAACCAGTTTATCTGAAAAAGGTTATGCACTGCACATTGCAATTGCCTGTTTTGCTAATATAGCATCTTCTGTATTTAAAAGTAAACTATAGTTACATCTATCTTTAATGTATTATTTATATTACACATTACATTATAATGTAACATATATACATTATGTTACCATCAAGAGGTGCAATAAAATGACAATAAACAACCAGTTTTAGCACAAGAGGTAGCATGGGTGTTATGGTAGATTTCGATATGAGTGATACACCCCAAACATAATGTAGAATCAAAGTTGAGAGAATTTTACTTCACCCAGGTACCCAAAGCCATGGGGGAAGGGGGCTTTCAAAACACTCATTCTTTCCACTCAAAATATTACCATTAAAACATATTTTATGGAATACACAGCTTAAAATAGGTTAAACTTGCCCGTCTTAAAAGGATTGTACAGTTTGTCCATAGGTCTACATAAATACAACCAGTTGGTTCTTTACATGATATACAATCATTATCCACATAATTCAAATGTCCGTATGTTTTTGTCCAGAATTCTCGACATGTTTCGCCATCTTATGGTTTCCCCAGGAGAATTTCAATAGCTAGAACACTGCATAAATAGACATAGCAATGCGTAACAGTTAAAATCTAGAATCAATAAACAATCAATAAACAAAAACATTTAATTGTGGATTCACCATGGGAGGTCATTTGCTACTCATTGATATGTCTATGTATACCGTTTTCTAGGTATTGAAATTCCCCTGAGGAAGCCATAAGATGGTGAAACATGTTGAGGATCCTGGAAAAAAAAACAACTTACTGGCATGTGAATTATGTGGATAATGATTGTATATTATGTAAAGAACCAACTTGTTATATTTATGTGGACCTATGGACAAACTGTACAATCCTTTTAAGACGGGCAAGTTTAACCTATTTTTAGCTGCATATTCAATAAAATATGTTTTAATGGTAATAATTTGAGTGGAAAGATCGAGGGTTTTGAAAGCCCCCTTCCCCCATGGCTTTGGGTACCTGGGTGAAGTAAAATTCTCTCAACTTTGATTCTACATTATGTTTGGGGTGTATCATTCATATCTAAATCTACCATAACGCCCATGCTTCCTCTTGTGCTAAAACTGGTTGTTTATTGTCATTTTATTGCACCTCTTGATGGTAACATAATGTATTTATGTTACATTATAATGTAATGTGTAATATAAACAATACATGATAGATAGCTAGAGATAAAGTAAAATTCTCTCAACTTTGATTCTACAATAAACAACCAGTTTACAGCATTTCAGGCAGAAGAAGGCAATACTGGAAAGAAAATATGCACTGCATTGAGTA